TCAATCATGTCTCCCCGCCAATGCTGCAGCAATAACTCTCTTCCAAGTGGCACTCCCTTCTGATACGGACCCGCCGCAAACGGACGAAAGATGACGATAGTCTCTCTGCCTTGCACACGGGTGATGGCAACATAGGCAGTGAAAGCATTCCCGTTGTCTGCCAAACACAAGTCTGCGATGACACCTTCCCGAATCGTTTGGCCTTGTGCCACATGGGCCGTGATTGCGAAACCGGGCGCGAGGGGGAACTGCGTGCGCGTCACGCGAAGTTCTGGTTTGCGTCGCTGCCGATCCAAGTACCAGCACCGTCGCATCGGTGCCACCGGATATACGTTGTCTTCAGCGAGCCCGTCAATCCGCCATGCCGTGGAAGTTTTAAAGCGGACATATATGATCGACGGCAATGTCTTCCATATACTCGCACTGCCACTTTCTGTTGCTGGAGTTGCTGTCCACCCAACTATAGTTCCTTGGCATCCTTTCAGAATTCCCCTGTGCCTATCTAAGTGATCCGTTGCTCTTACTGGCATACCGATGGCCAAAGGCAACACGCCGTACAGTCCGTTGCACTCCTTATCGTGGCGTTGCAACCAGACAAGTTTTTCTTCCTTCAGGTCACCTTTCTCTCGCAATACGGTTGCCGAAGCCATGTCCCGGGCAATGGCAAAATGAACCCTTTCTTGTTTCTGCTGCGCCCACTGCCTCGCTCGGAGTTTGTTCACGTGGTACTTTACATCGTTGGTGCTGAATATGGCTACAGCATTTTGGAACGCACCCGAATACCGTGGATCTGTTGTGCTTGCTGCTACAAGATGTCGGGAGGCGCGATCCAGTGCACAGGCCCCACATTCAGTCTCTAAGATCTGCTCCGGGCTCATCGCTGCAGAGGCTTGGGGCATGCAGCCTTCGTTCCCGCACGTGGGTACACCTCCGACTGCGCTGCCGCAGACGGTGGTGGGTTGCCCATGCAAGAAAGCATGATTGTCGTTTGACAATGTTCCTGTTCGTAGCTGCTTTTGGACTTCCTCTAGCCAAGCATCCTTGGTTCGTTCACACTGCACCAATTCAGTGACGCCTTGCATCCCTTCTTCGCAACCGCCCCAGATCAAATTCTGCCCATGCAAGCCGGGGGCCTGTTTCGAGACCTTCTTTCCTCCCAGCAACTCCCATGGGATGTCTCCGATGAAAGTACCCTTTGGCGGTGGTAACTGGTACAAATCTCCGGCCAGAATTATGTTCAGGCCCCCAAACGGTTGCACACGTCCACTGGCTTCAGTGAACTTCTGTGGGTGCAAGTCTCGCACCAGCTCGCGGCAACGTCGCTCTAGCTGTGCCAAAAGTTCTGCACTGATCATGCTGAATTCATCGATGATCAACCATCGCCATTGGAGACTCGTCGTCGTTAATTCCAGCAATCTCTGGCGGCTGGTCCCTTTGTCGCCCGACCAGTCCAATCCGAAGGCATGATGGATGGTGTCGCCTCCGACGAGGTCTGCCATAACAGCTTGAAACGTTGCAACCTGAAAATGCACTCCGTGTGTCCATCCCAAAACTTTTTCAAACAACCCCTGTCGCAGCAACTTCAAGACATGTGATTTCCCGGTTCCCGGGCCCCCGTGCAGCACCCACCGCAGTGGCTTAACTGCCACAGGCTGCGCTGGTGTAGCGAAAGTCCTCTCTCCGTCCATTTCTGCCACAATTTGGTCGGCAACTTTCCGGCAGAATTCCTGCTGCTCCGCATTCGCAGCGCCGTTCGCTAGGCTAGCAACCCATCCGTGGACTTGCGCTGGCCGGCAGCCGGCTTGCGTCCCTAGTGTGCTGCCTTGTGCCTGGAATGGGCTGCTCTGCGGCTCGCTCACTGGCGTGCGTTTCCGCGCTGCTGCGAGAATAGCTTTTGGACAATAGCCCTCGTAGGTGCTGCAATCCGTTCGGTGCTGGACCCTCTCCCCTGGCTCTGTTTGCCACAAGGCTTCCGCTGTAGCGAAAGCTGCGGCGGTATCGACGAACCTCTTGTCCTTCTTCGTTTTGCTGGCCTGTTGGCGCTGCACGGGGGCTAGCGTCCCCAGGGCACGTGGTAAATCCGTCGGATGCAAAACATACTCGGAGTCCACATCCTCGTTGTCGCTATTCATCTCCTCGTCGGCAGACGGACGGACACGGTGCACAGAGAGGAAATTTGCCACATGCTGCTTTGTCTCTTCACTTGGCAGCCGCAGCAACCACTCACGTAGCCCGTCTTCCCAAGTTCCCCCCTCTGGCTTTAGGTTTGATAGCAGCGGCACCTGGTTCGTGGCTGCCATGGCGTCCAACGTCCAGGCCCGAAAGTACACACTGACAATCTGAGCGTTTCGTTCCGTGTCGTCCCTTTGGCGACTCGGTGTCGGAGCATGCGCGAAATGCGGGCACGCCGGTTGGCGTTTCCGCTGTAGGTACCAGTTGTGGCGAAGTGCTGCTGTTCCTCCGCCCGCTGGAAAGCACACCCGGTCCATTCCTTCCAGCAGGCGAATCTGATAGTCTACTTGCGGACGCAATCTGGCAGCAGCCGTCCCGCCCGTCGCCAATTTCCGTCGGCCCGCGTCGGTGACGGTCACATCCCAGGAGCTCTCTCTGTTATTCTCCCATTCCTCCTGATTATATGGCACACGTGTCGCCACAACATCCCAGTACATCGTGAATTCATACGGAGACAGCCACCATACTTCAGATGCTGTCGGCCGGTGACCGTACGCTTGCACCGTCACGTCCTCTCGCAGATGCCGTTCCCCCGTGTCTGGTGCTGGTCGTGTTTTCACATACTTTGTTCTCTGGCCCCATGGCCTCTCGCCACGCATGCTGTCGTACATGCCCAAGTAAGCTTGGCCGGGAAAATTTTTGAAGGATGTCGTCGACACCCGTTCTGCCGCAACAATTTGTCCTTCAACATGATTTGCCCGCAGATTGCAACATTCCACTTGTCCACGCACAATCCCTTTGCAATAAGCATCACTCAGGAACCGGCTCGCATGTCGTTTGCCTATTTCCTTAATGTCTCTGCTTTTCAAATTGGCTTGCAGTGACAGGTGCCCTTTTTGAAACTCTTTGATTTCGTGGAATCCCATGGGTTGGTTCTTGGAACAATAATCGCTGCAGTACCCGGTCTGTGCGTCTTGCGCCCTTTGTACCGCAGCCACTATATCCCTCCGTGCATCTGCTGACAAAGTCCCTTGACATGACTGACATGCGTACGGCAGACGATACGGGACTTGCACATCACAGTTGCCGCCACGTACCGCGGCTAGCAAAGCCGGATGACAGCTGTTGATATATGGGTGCCCATATGGACCATGTAGAGCCCCCAGTCTATTCTTGCGACCTTGCTTCTCAAACCCGTGCCTGCTTAACTGGCACGGGCACAACACGGTCGCATCATCCCGCAGCCATGCATCCCGAGGGTAATGTGACTTGCAGATGCCAGGTCAATCAACTTTGTTTCCAATTTCATCAGCTGTGGAATCACTGTCACCTGCCACCGGTTCGGTGGTTTCCTTTCATCCTGGCCTTCTTGGTTATTTGCTGCGAGAGTGTTTTTCAGAGGCAGCAACGTTTCGTTAACAGCAACGACCAAAATAAATGCTGTTTCAGACCAACCCCACAAAAGGGAGCACCAGGAGGGCATAAGTATGAGAACCACTCATGGCAATGTCGACCACTCAAGCTACCTTACACCTCCATGCATCTCTGCGTAGAAATCCGCCGAACCCGGGAGACCACGCTGGGGCCTACTACTACTACTACTACAACTACTACTACTCCTGCTGCTATTACTACTACTACTACTACTACTACTACTACTACTACTACAGCTACTACTACTACTACTACTACTCCTACTCCTACTACTACTACTACTACTCCTACTCCTACTGCTACTACTACTACTACTACTACTACTGCCACTGCTAGTACTACTACTACTACTACTACTACTACGACTACGACTGCGACTGCGACTGCGACTGCTACGACTACTACTGCTACTACTCCTGCTACTACTCCTACTACTACTACTACTACAACTACTACTACTCCTGCTGCTACTACTACTACTACTACTACAGCTACTACTACTACTACTCCTCCTCCTCCTACTACTACTACTACTACTACTCCTACTCCTACTCCTACTCCTACAACTACTACTCCTACTACTACTCCTAACTTGCTATTCCCATCAATGCGAGGACACAAACTGCCGTTCCTGATGTTTGATTCCGGGGTCGGCGGCAGGGGCGGCAGCCCTTAAATATATATATTATGTTATCTTAAAATTATATACACACAATTCCAATCAGGAGAGACGAGTGAGACCTCGCGGCTCCGCAACTATGACACTCTAGCATCGCCTGATCAGCCTTTGGATCAGATTCTGTCGCAGCTCCTTGGAGAGTTGGATGGCCACAGCGAATTCGAAACAAAGCTGTTGTTACAGTCAGAACTTCAGTATTGTATCGCGTGCATCGCTTGTATCGCTTGTATCACTTGTATCACATATTGTATCATATTGTATTATACATACACTAGTTGCATTTAGATGCATTTAGTTGTATCGTTGTATCTGTAGCATCCGTAGTTTCTGTAGCTCTGCCACACATGAGAAGGAGAAAAACCCTGTTGCCAAGATTCCCTCCATGCGGATGCTCGATCCATTCAAACAAAGCGATGGGCATTCAATGCGGCATTCAAGATAGTGGGCCACATCTGGGTGCTGTTTGACGTGCGATGTCTATCAATTGTGGCAGTGTTGTGACTTAAGAATACTCCAACGAAACTAGCCAAGATAGCCACATGGATCAGAGTACAACATGTATATTACTTTGGTCATGGCACAAGCTTGAGCTACGGCTTGCGGGTCTGGTGCGCACTGATGGAAGTCGACCCGCTACACAAAAATACGTACCAACTACTCTTACGTATGTTGAATACTGCAATGTCAGAAAATGAACTAAACGCATGTTTGATCATTTTTGTGCAGGCACGAACTCGGATCGTTGACTGCGTTGTAGGCAAACAGACATGCTCCACGCTCAGTAGCGGTGATCCGCATTTAGCTTGGGTGCCTCAAATGCAACGACTGCAAATGCAATGAGAAGAAAAGAAGGAATGCGACTTATGAATTAACCACCTGTGCAATCAAGACTTTAAAAAGAAACAGGCCTTCCAATTCAAAGGATGCGTTTCCGGAGTTGCATTGGGATCCTGATATTCCAGTTTGAGCAAGCTGCCAGCAAGCAGCCAGGTTTCTGAATAGGACCGAACAGTTGTGACACATTGTGACAGCGCGTCCTCCCGGTAGATTTTGACAGTCTTGTCACACTCCGCAGTGATTAGGCGGCTTCCGCTCTGGTCTAGCCTCAAGCAGGACTCCAGCACGACACAAGCAAAATTAAAGCAGGACTCAAGCAGGACCCAGCAAGGGAATGCAAGGGTTGCATCCTTCGAGCTGTTCAGGCTGTTCATGCAGACAAGCTCAGGACGCCATGTCAAAGATCGCATTCTCTGCACCTGAAAAGGGAATAATTCGGAATGATTCTGACAGCTTACACCATAGAATTGGCATACCATAGCATACCATAGCCTTTGCAAGTTGTGTCTGCATAGAGTGTGAAAAAACTCTGACAGTTGTGTATGCATTGAGGATCGTCAGCTCCGGGCTCATGCTGCCAGGCTGTGGGATGGCCTACATTTCCATCGATCTTGATCAACATCTGATCAACATCTGATCAACTACAGTTAACTACAGAAGTCTTCCCTTGGACGAGTCCAATGAATCAGAGTGCAAGGGCTTTCCATGGCTTTCCTATTGTGCATAGGATCTGAAGTACGCAGTGCTGTCCAAAACAACAGAATCAAATCGTGGTGGGAAGGGCCAAAGGGCCTTGTGGACTGGGACAAATCACTCTGAAACAAGTAATATTCTCTTGTGGATTTGAAATCTGGAGAAAGTCTAGTCTCTGCTCTGCCTCCAAGCTCTGAAACTTGTGGCCACTTCTCCAATCCTGTGGAACATGGATGATGGATGGGAGTGGGCACTGCTGAATGCGGATGGCCAACAGAGATCAAACCGGCCACAGCCAGCACGGTCAGCACAGCAGCCAGCACAGTCCCAGAAATGCAAATAGCCGTTGTCCGTGCCAGCGATGAGCTGTGATGAGCCCTGCTGCCCTTCTCTGATTGTACAGCCTGCAACACTTCTGCAACTCGACCAGATTCAGTCGTCAACTGAGAATCTTGCAAGTTGACACGTTGGTTGTCTTAAACCAAGGTCCAGACAATTGACAATGGAATTGTGGCCCTGAATGTTGCGCTCGAAAGCCCCTTTGGGACACTTCCACACCTGCAAATGCAGTCGTGCGTGCAGAAAGGAAGGGAAACTGCGAAGGTAACAACCAAGAATACAGGGACTCCCAAAACCAAACACTATGTACAGTCCAGCATAAACTGGAACACTGGAACGCTTGTGCGATACATGTTGGGCGAAACAACATGTCATCAAGTCATCAAGATCCTTGCTCGAAGAGACAACACCACCAATAATATTGATACTTGATACATTGATGCATGTCATATTGAAGAATGGTTGTACAAAAGAAAGTATTATGAAATTGAGACCTGACAAAGAGAATGCATAGTTCAGTACTGTACCAGTATGATCTGTGCAATGGGTCCTTAATCAGCGAATCATAGCAGCTACGAAGTATTATATAATAGAAAGATCCAACACCAGAGTCCGCAGCTTATCCTTGCAGAAATCTCTCTGGACCTAGTCGACCAGAGAAGATTTTCTCAGCAAGGACCACAAATGCAAGCTGTGTAGGGGTTGAGGTTCCGCAAGACATGTGGCCAAATATCCGCGATCTCACCTTTGGCCACACTACAATTTTTTGGTGCAGAGACTTCGAATCAAATCCGCCTATCCCACCACCCTACTTGAGAGCAGGCGGAGGCGGACGAAAGGTAGTGGAGTGGGAGAGGAGTGGTGTCAAAATGCTGCGCCCCTAAGATGATACACCAAAAACGTTTTTGCGCAGTCTAAGATGATTTTATCCAGAGCATGACTGCATGATACGGTGTCTTGTGCAGCGTGAAATGATGCACGAAAAGGGGTTTATTTAAAACCCCTTTTTAAGACCCCTTGCAGCAACTGTTATTGAGGCTGAAGCAAACCAATCATGCTGGACTACAGGGACATCTCCCTCATGGAGAGTGTGCCTCTACTGTGGCGGACCGTGACCGCGTCACCCGTGGGAATTGAACCCATGACCATTTTAGAGGATAATTGATATCTAATACATAACGTCGAGAATTCTACGTTTTCCACGGGCTGGCCCCCCAATACCCCCTATGATTGTGCTGAAGCACGGAGAACTCAGGTAGCTGACGCTACCTTTCGTGACTTGTATGAAAACCGTCGCACTTCCTGAAAAACCCTTCCAACATTTGCCCTTCTCCGTGTGACGTCATCTTTCGACCAAAAGAGTCCACGTCCCTCTTATGGATTCAGACTGCAATGGATCCCTCTCGCGGCCTTGTTGTTGTCTGAAGAGCACGAGACAAAAGTGTATTCCGTCGGGTGGATTGCCAGAGCCCTCACACTCTTCCTTGATGGAAATCAAAAAAGGACTCCAAAGAAGTAAACACACATATATGCAGAAATCAGGCACAGTGGTGAAATGTGTTGGTAAAAATGCAACCTCTGTCCAACAATTTTCTTGGGTTCGCACTTGTGATTGGTCAATGTAACCTTTGGATGAAGACAAAACAAAAACTGAACGAAGGAGCGTCTTGAAATCTGGTAGGTCAAAGCAGCCGCCACAAATGCAAAAGTCTCACAATCTCTTTACAGCGCAGATACACTTAGCCGGCTTAGCCGGCTTAGCAATCACATCCGCAATCACTGGGTGTAATGCAGCACATTTGCCAGCTGCCAAATCCCATAGCCGAACCTAGCAGATCAATGCTGCATGTGCAGATATGGTATAAATATGTATAAATATGTGTATAAATGAACATCTGGATATGCCACTGAAATCCGCCAGAATATGTCACAACTGTCACGACTGACCACTGATGTCAACCAAATTAATAAACCCCCAGTTTACAAATAGGGGGTCCCACTTTAGTAGTCTAGTATAACCTTGGGGAGTAACCCCCAAATGATCAATCCGGGATTGACATTATGGGAGATGTCTGGATTTCACGTCGTAAGTTCCACGCCATTCTGTCCATGGAGCCGCTGATGAATTGCGGCTCAGAAGCCTGACGTCACTCAGACTAATTCATACTAGGCATACTACATCATGCTTTCCTGTAGCGCTCATCTCGCCATGGTGCTGCAGAAAACCCTGAATCCGCTAGAAATGAGTAGACTTGCAATGTCATGCAAACACTCTTGTTTTACAGTCAGAAAGATCCGCAGGCCTGTGATGCCAATGAGCAAATGGCATTGGTGTGACCGGTGAATACAAAAATGCCAGTCTTCGTCCGCATGTCCCAAATGCGCACGGAACCATCTCGACCACCTGATTTCGGCCCAAGACTTCCATAAGGTCAGAATGTATTGGATACACATACCGTCACAGACCAATCATTATATTACATCACATTGCCAAACGGTGGATCCAAATATCGTATCGTTCTTTATCTTTACTATCTGATGTCTGCTTTCATATTGCTGTTTTCTACGCGTAAGATGTGAAGGAGACCTTTGAAAGGGTCCCATTGATGCAGCACAGCGCACAGCAACGACCAACCTGTTGCAAGGATATTCAAGGTGGGGTGCAGAACGAGGCAGTAGACCTCGGTAGACTCCACTGACGGCTGAGTTGCATTGATTGACCAAGGAATGATCAAGGTGTACTTATCAAACTTCTGAAAGCAAACGTTCATGTCAAAGAGTAAGGCAGCAGCGCCACTAAGGTGCCCATGGTAGTTTCGAATCACCTGGCAAAGCATGCAAAAATGTCACCCTCTTGATTTGTTCTTTTTGAAACTGAGGAGCACACCATGTTCTGCTCCAAATCCCAGCACTTCACTTCACAATCTTCGGAAGCACTGAATAGGTACGGATGCCTGCAGCAAGGGCTAGATTCAGTCACAAGCCACACGGACTCTTGCACTCTTCATGTTGACCTAGCACCCGTGGCAGCAGTCTTTGCACATTAGTCACATTAGTATATTTGTTCTTTGGATTCGACATTGAAAACCATGCCTGTCAGAAATTGCCACAGCCCGGACTGTGCTGACATGCCCTGTCAAAGACAATTTCAGCCTCAAACGAAAATGTCGCTGATGATTATTGTCGCATCGCAATCAAATGCACAGCAAAAACACGCAACCAAAATGAATTGACTACCTGACGCCTTGCATTGGTTTGCCTTACGTCAGTTCCGTGCTTGATGCTTGCAATATCTGACCATCTCAGAGCCACACGTGCCGCTTGCCAAATCCCAAATCTTAATGAGGCGATCGTTCCCAGAGGATGCAAACCTTGTCGCGTTGCTGTTAGACTCAGAGGCTTTGAAAATCGAAACAGTTTGACTTTTTTGGGAGCCAATCTAAGAGAAATATCTAAGAGAAATCTAAGCCAAGCACCATTCATTTGTCGGATCCACTGCAACTGTACGTACCCAGCCTTCGTGTCCCGACCTTCCGTTCTGATTTGCTGCGTAAAGTTGATGGGGAAATGAAACCACAACAAGACATCGTTAGGCCCTAGAGAGTAGGCCGCCGGCATAACCCTCATCAACTTCCACGGTGGATGCCATATGGGCTTCGGAATTTCAGGACGCTCTCGAAGGGGACGCACCTGTCATGGCTCCAAAAAGTGCCACCATGTGAGTGCTTTCGTCCACCGCAGGGTCAACTTAGCCAGCAATTACAAACAGAGTGGAGTGCACTGCACCATGAAACAGAGAAATCAGCTTCAAACACCGCCAGCTCAAAGCAAGGGTTGTTTTAATCAAGACTCTTGTCATTGCACGAAACAGACTATGTGTTCGGAACGGCTAGTACGATGAAAAGTGACGATACATGACGATACTGATTCCAAGACCGTCCCAGCCTGAATCTGTGTCGAAGGATCTCCAGAAACTTTGGGCACTAGTGGCATCACCTGGCCAAACGCGTTCCTGTCTGAGTGTGAAAAAACTCTACCGAGCCTTCAAAAACAAACATGCCCATGGAACCGGTCCGACTGCAGGACCAGATTTTTGGCCAGTTTCCCCATCCTGGCACAAGCTCGAAGCCAAAGACACAGCAGCCAGACTCAGGCGACTTTCTCCTTGGCCGTGGGCTACCAGATCTAGCAGTACTTTTCAAGCGAGCTGGTCAAGCCGTCAGCATCTGCGTGATTGATGAAGGCAGAGCCTTGGTGACTCAGAGATACTCAGAGTGACAGCAGTTCTTTTCTGCTGTGATGCCATTCCAAAACAAGGCTTAAAACCTTGCAACATTGATGTCAAGTGGACTATATACGACATGCTAAAAGTCTAATTGTTGTAATCGTGCAAATGCGAAACCTGCCTCTCTTGTCGCATCATCAGCAGGAGCGCTGCGCAGGAATGGCAACCTCAGTTGTCAAGTGAAGGTGCATCCGCATCCCCACACACCCCAGCTGCGAATCGGAGCCGGACACAGCATTCTCATCGGTCACCTGTTCCGGCACATCCCGAATGTGTTCATACCTGGCACGAGGCAAAATATTTGAAAAGCTCGTCAGGAAAATGTGGAGAGGATTCAAGAAAATCGTTAAACTAGGCAACCGGTTGACTCGCCATCCTTGTAAGGGTGACAAATCTGAAATTGAGATGTTCGAGGCTAAGAGACAAAATGCTGGTATTTGTGGGACTTGTCAAAAAATGTTTGCAACATGGACATCCATTTCGATTGGCAGGCAAGTGACTCAAGTGTCAAAATATGCGTTTCGCCTGCCCGGTGAATCGATTTTGTTCTTCGAGGGCTAAAGAAGAAACATTAGAAATTTATGATTTTCAATTATCCCATACATTTCCCCCCCACCCCCCCCGACGAGAGAAGCAACATGTTAACAACGGCAACAAGTTCCGTGGACCATGTTTATACTCGTCAAGAACGTTATCACACCCCCCCCACCCCCCACCCCCCCGTGACGACCATAAGAGAGCATCTGCAACACATTGAACAAAGCTGAAATTCAAATCCTGAACCCCCATTTTCGCAACCTTCATTTTTCAAATTTGCAACCCTTCCACGGGATCCCAAATGGCACATCTCAAAATAAGCAACCCTTCCAAGGGCGGCGTATCAGCCACATGCCTTGCCTTAAACTACCACGCGAATAAGAAGCAAATATCAAAGACTTGGTCGGAGGCGCTCATCATGCATTTTCATTCGGAGCATCATGTCTGTGCCTCGGCCGTCCTGAAAGAGAATGGGACTCCAAAAGAATGAAGTCGAATTTGACGAGGATCCCAAGTCACATTTTTCCAAATCAACCGGATGGAGGCAGAATGGGGGAGCTATCAGCAGCTGGTCAATTCCAGATCAAAACCATTTTGAAACGGTCTGCGGTCCTCAACACGCTTGAGCTCTTCATTTCCAACGAAGATATCATGCGTTCTTTTCAAGGACTTCCTGCCGCCAAGACTATACTGCAATCGTGACCCTTGAGGTGTAGAATCCAAGAGTCCGGAAGTTCCGGCTTGCATTGCAAGCTGCGAAATTCGATCTTAGACTGAAACACACGTTCTACTACAAACTCACCAGAAGTCACTAGCAACGTCACAACTTGGAACGGCACATCAATGCACTCTGCCACAGCTATGGCACACCATCCTCACCGCTAATGTGACTGGCGTTCGCTCTCGTGGGCCCAACCTCAATTGATCTTGGCTTGCCACATGCTGCACTTGGCAAAGTATGGAGTCAGGCAGATCAACAAACTGAGTTTCCATCGGATCTGCCTGAGAGTGACTCGCTATCCAAGAAGCGAATGAGGTTGACAAAAAGTTTCTGATCTCTTGAAAAATCTTGAAATGCAATAGTGTTCAGGGCCTCAGCGACAGCTGCAGTCATCTTTCGCCCATGAAAAGTTCAGATGTTTAGCGCTAAACGTGTCTGAATGCACCAATGTTGTCTGCATATCTACTTCGCTGCCGGATTAAATCTCTCGGATGCTGTGGGATTGGGCACTAGAGAGAATCACAGCGTACTGCATTAAGTTGTTGCTAGTTTCGACACTTATGGCTTTTGCAAGACATGCAAGAGTCCTGTTCTCTTAAACAGCACAAAGAAGACAGAACCATCAGCTAAAACTGCCGCAGATAAATGCAGTGGTGACGAAACTCAGAAGCCCTCCATTGCACCCCCTCGCGCCAACCTTGCACCCTTATTGAATCCCCCATCATTGGTGCTGAATGATTGGACTGAACAACAAATTGCTGGCTTTTTGCATTCTCAAGCTAACCTTGTTGGAATCAATCGATGAACCGCACCTGGCGGGTCTTGAGTTGTCAGAGCTCAAGTGCGGAACCCACTATCAAAGGTCATGTCATGTCTTGCTGGCAAGGCGTGTCGGGACCACCAGCACCACTGTCTTGATATTCCTGACGAGAAATCCAGAATCTGGAGTTCGCCTGCCAAGGTCCAAAAAGAATTCTGTGAAGAGCGTGAACTCCAATTAGACTGCCCTCTCTCGCCTGCTGCTCGTATGCATCAGCCATAATTGATGCTCCCAAGAAAACCATATGCTGCCGATGCGGAGGGTCCTCCAAAAAAAAATCTCAGATCCCATGTTGACAGAGTGATTCCAACATATTCCAACATGCTTCAAGTGCTGAACCCCGCCTCCACATGAACCCTGAATTTACTGGCACGTGAGGTGTCTCCACGAAGTACATTCTTCAGGTAGAGAGCCTTGAGATCCTTTGGTCAAACTCTGTTTTCGATGAGGACACGAGTGACATGAACGGAATTCAGGTGACTTCAAGGGACATCACTGTGAATAAATTGGCGATGTCCTTTTCAAGTCTTGAAGACATCCCTGGAAACATTGTCGTTCCGCCAGACAGCAGGATCTGCTGGAAATAATCCTGGACAAAAGGGACCAATGGAGATGAAACCAGAGCACGGGAATGTGACTAGGATTTGCATTCGTGTTCCACAGGTTCGGGACCTCAAGCCAAATTTCATGTGCTGCACAATGCAAAGAGCTTTGTGAAGTCTAGCCGCAAAATGTCCCTTCTTTTTTGTGTCTACATTTTCCACTGCCGCAGACGCCATTCAAGCGCACACCTTTCAACAAAGCGCGGTTTACCTGCTTCTCTCATTGTGCTGAAAACGTGATGGGTTGAAATCATTTCAGTGCACAAAGAGTCAGAAGGCAACGTGGCAGAAACTTACAATGTACACGTTTTGCATGAATTGAAGGAGCCGACTTGATACTTGTGCAATCTTCTGTGAATATGTTATATATTATATATATAGCTGGTAGGCTGCGTTGGCTCATGTCAATTGCAAGTTGGCCAGCTTCACTCTGTTTGCTTTGTTCTGTTCCCTTCTTGCCATTTTGTGCCTTTTTGAAATATATTGAAATGAAAGGTTCTGCACCCTTTCGTAACTCCAAAAGATGAAATATCAAGCTGTGGTTCTGTACGTGGGCTGTTGGAACTAGAGGAAAACCTGAGAAAAAATGCCTGCTTTCTGGATGAACCTTTCTGGATGACCCTTTCGAATGCCGGTCTCCAGATTTCCAAGGCTCAAAGTCCGTCTCGGCGCACTCAGCTTTGGTTTGCTTTGCTTTTTTTTTCCAGGTTGAGGGCACAGTAGTGGAAAGAGGCGGCTGGACAGGGAGTCCGTTTTGGGAGAGCTGGATGACGAATTGACGCAACCCTCGCAAAACTGCAAAACTGCAAAACTGCAAAACCCAGCCAAAGCATCCTTCTGAACATGGATGTCAGATTTCCTGATGGTGTTGAAAACCTGAGGCCGCAAAGTAGGAAACAGTAGCAAGATGATGATTACAAGAAGCCATGTAGCGACTGTTTTCCAGCACATATTTTCTTGTGTGCTTTCGCCTTCTACACCCCAAATCATCTGCATCGGCTTCGACGTGTCAAAAACCAGGGAAGACACAAAGAATGTGGCTTCAGTGGCCCAATGACACTCGTAGCATCATTTTCATGGGGTTCTAGCTGACACTCGCAGCCATACAGCATACATCTATATATATATATATATATAATTATACTTATATATATATATATCCTTCCCAAATATCCAAGTGCCACAGTTCTGTCATACATGACTCAAGAGAGAAGGCTAAAAAATGATAGGGCTGCATCTTGTATCTTGCATCTCTCGCAGGCAAGTCACCAAGTCGGCCAACCCATCCGCATCTCCATGCCCAGCCAAAGCTGGGTTGAACCTAGGGAATCATTAGTGATCAGATGTAATGAGTCCCTTCAAGACAGTTTGAACGGACGCGCTGGTCTACATATTGTGTGCATGTGAGTGTGTTAGTGAATATTTGCCCCCATCGCAATGCTCCATTGTCATCCATTGTCCATAATGTATCCTTCCTCCATTGAGCTGAGACGCAAGATTTCAGGCGCCATGAAACGTTCAGCCCCAACTCGCATTGTGCGACTGTCCGGCAGCACGTACCTGTGGCGTTCTTTTGTCAGCAGCTTCAGCAGCTAGCAATGGCAAGAGCTCTGGTACCGAAGGGGGCACTGCCTGTCAACAAGCGTTGTCTCTCTTGCCTTGGTGACAAGTCTGTGGTGCAGGGCTACACTGGTTTCAAGACAAAAGGTATGAAATCAAAACAACTAACACCGACTAACACAAACACGCTTGACTGCTTAACTGCTTCGCTATGTGACAAGTTTTTTCTCGGCTTCCGGATCGTAAGCCACATAACACAATTTCTGCTTGACCTTGGCCGGTAGTTTCCCAAGTATGCCAAGGGCAATGAACAAAATGAACAGGAACAAGGAGGACAACGCCGACAACAATCACCACAACCCCCACAATCACTACCACAGCAATGACGACAGCAACAGCCA